AGTGGTACAACAGGGCAGGGTCTGCACCACGGCACTGCACTGACAGAGCACCTGAGCCTTCCCTCCTCTTCTGCCTCAGCTCAAGTGTTAAGTTTCCACGAACACCCAACTCCAGCATCTGTCCTCATGGCGAAAAGCTGCTGGGAACTGAGCACAACTTTTCTGAGCACACGTAAGATGCCACAGCAGGGTAAGAAGATCTATTAGCCTAACTCCAGCAGGGGTTTAAATCCCACAGAAGAATCTTAGGCTGCAGGAAACTCTCCTAGTTGGTGTTCGACCCAACAGATAACAATAAGCTCTATGGATTTCAGTGCTGTTCTGCATGGAAATGCTGTAGAATTGAGTGTCTTACCAATTGTTTCTTGCCTGGACTCTGCCTGCTCAGTGGCCCACACAACCATATGGCTCTGCCGTGCAGGAATTCAAAGAATCAAAAAGAAAGTGATTCAAGGGGACTCCATGAAGCAGCAGCAGGTTTTTTCTCCTGATGTCTTCTCAAGGTGTACAATCATTTACAAGAACAAAACCTGGAGCTAAAACTGGTGAAAGGCCCTTTTACTCTTTGCTCATTTAAGCGCCTACCATACAGGTTGCTTCATGTTTGCAGGTCCTGGGTATGCAAGGCTAGAACAAGGCTTTGCAAGGTTATGACCAAGTGAAGCAATTTGCATCACTGGGGCTCTACATAACAGCTTTAGGCTCCTTGGTAAATTCACCTCATCCTCTGCTTCTTAAAGGAAAAAACATTAATGCACCATTTGCAATGCTAACCACAAAAAAATGAAATCTTCTGCTTCAGCATAAAGTAGGATAGACAAGGAAAATAATTTTTGCCAGAACAAAAAAGGGAACAAGATTATTCCTGTATTCTCTAGTAGGTTTGGTGACCTAAATCCCCAGACAGTCATCTGGGAGCAAGCTTTCTGTTAGAGCCGGACACAGCTTGTACACCTCTGACCAGCAGAGATGATCCCCAAGCATGCACAGTAATGGAAGGACACGGATAACTCCAGGATCAAAACAAACCTCTAACCTTAATTTGCTGATGCAGAATAGCGATGAAAGAATCAGCTTTTCATGAGAATAGAGAATTGAATTAAAACTTTAAACTAAGGTAAATCTTATAATTTTAAAAGACAAAACAAAATGAAACTCTTAATTCATAAGATGTTAAAATCACAGTAGTTATTAACCTAACTTAAATTAACTGGCTTATTATTATAGAAAGTCATCAAATGTACTTAGCATTCTTTAGAGCCTTACAGTCAATTAATATAACATGAAATTGAATCAACTCAAGCATCTAGAGACACAGAACCTAGATTTAAATGAAAAATTCAGCCCCATCTACCTCAGGGTCTGAAAATTTGGGATCACCTACCACATTTTCTCCATTTCAACAGGCACAAACCCTCATTTATATCCCATATCGAATTTACCCAGAAACAAATGAAAGAGTGTGGGAAAACCATCTCCATGATTAAATTTTACAGCTGAAGCTAAGCCCAGTGGAGTTTTCACCCTTTGAAGCTAGCTCTGTCTGACTAAAGGCCAGATTTTCTGAAGTGATTAGTACCACTGGGGCCAAATTTTCAGAACTGCTCAAGTTGTAGTTGGGCCCTCAGAAGAAGCAGACAGATTTTCAAAGAAGTGTTCAACACTCGGTTTCCCCGCGAGGAATACCACGGTACACAGCAGGAGACCTGATTCCCGAAGGAGCTCTTGACTGCAGAGTACTTCTGAAAATCAGGACGTTGACTTACATACTTCAACGGGAAACACTGGTGGTTACACTCTTTTAAACACCTTGTCCTAAAATAAGGTTGCTAAGATGCATTTATTGCTGGCCAAACCTGATTATTCTCTATTATGGCAAAAAAAGGAAGGGAAATGTTGTATTTTCTAATATCCCAGAGTATCGTTTGCAGAAAATCTGTAAGCTTTTCACAGTGTTTGTCAAAGAGGAAGAAAATGCTTGTTCAATGCTGCATGTGAAAGCAGCTTACTGGAAAAGATAAAAACTTATTATTGCCAATTTTGAAAAAAGAAATCTTTGGCTACTAATGAATAACTAATCTAAGCTAACAATGTCTGGAAATAGTTTTTTTGGAACACACAAAACTTTGTGACGGATAAAAATTAGGAAATTAAAGCTTATTGTATTATTCCAAATGTAACTGTTTACACTTGAGGAAAAATAATGGAATAATATCCACTTGGAAAGTTTTTATTTTTAAAAAATCCTTTGTAATAGTCCCAGAAATTCCCTCAGCCAAAAGCAAATAACTTGCTTCTTAACCAGCTAGAAAAAAGAGCATGATACTACAAGCATGGGCTCAGTGTACAATAAACACAAAAATGGCTTTATGAAATTCCTTGTGAAAATCTTGCTAGCTGGTAAACATTTAAAACACACCAAAAAAATCACTCCAAAGTGTACTAGATGTCTTCAAAATGTGTTTTCTCTTGAAACAATGAGGCACAGATAAAAACCCTTCTCCCATTTAATACAGACACATATCACACTCACATGAGAGGTGCCCAACTGCTCACGTTTAGATTTACCTGGGGAAAACCACGTCCCCTGAAGCCTTCCACTGCCGCCACCGCCCCGCAGCCCTACGGCTCCCTCCTGCATGGGCAGGGACCGTGCCTCCCATTAGAGCTTCAAGCCCAGAGAAGCCTAATGAAGTTCACCCCATCAACAGGCTTCTGATGTGGGTTTTCCACCATCAGGTGCTCTGACGCTCAGGTACCTCACCTTAGTCAAATGACCCAATATAAAGAGCCTCATGCTTTGGGTCAGACAGAAGTGACGGGTCTAACAGAGGTGGAATTAATGCTGCAGAGAAAGTTTAAAGGGGCTGCTCTTCTGCAGAACCTCAAATTCATTATTTTTCAAACTAAGCTGATGTCATACATCCATCTATGTGCACATTTATATGCAAATAAAGGACTTTAGCTATTTGTTTGTGAGCTCACATACGTGCTTCCCCCATATTCAGGAAATTTGGGGTTTAGGATTGGATTTTGAAAGTAAATTAGCCACACAAACATTCTTAATGTAAGAATGCAGTTGCATCTCTGCACAAATAATTTTAATATTTGCAGGCATGAAATTCTTTATGTGCATAGAACTCTGGTATTTTATATATGTTAAGTATGAAACTGGAGACCCTAACTCATTTGACAATGCAATCACGATATCCATTTTAATCTGTAACAGGTTGCTCTTTCAAGACTGTGGATAGATGGGTCTGCTTTCAGAATAATGACCCTTAAATTATACAATATACTAGATAATAGTTATAAATTTGGTCATATGTAAATGAAAATTAGTATTGAAACTTGATTCTGTAGCTCATGTGCCACGCTACTGAGGGCCCGCTACTCTATACTCCCCCAAAATCAGTTCTAGAAATCTCCCTTGAAATTAAGGTACTTGCTCTAACCTTCAAAGCATACAGTTTCTAAGTAAAAACCAAGTCTGGTGCTTTTCAGTCTCACAATTCTTCTCACTTGTTCCTAGAATTTAGTTATCTCTTTACCATACCAAGTCTTGAAGATGTGTGCCGGTTTATGTAAGTCCACCAAATTCAGAAAGGTTATTCACAACATAAGTGAAACAATCTAAGCAAAGGCATGCAACATCAGGATTCTGGATTTTTAAGTCCATGGACTCTGCAAGTAATCACATCCCTTGTGCATTGCTGAATGCCTCTATTTGTACACAGAGAGAATGCACTTGGGGGAGAGAGAGAGAGAGAGGGGCAAACATCCATCCTTTCTGTATTAGCTAGTGGACAAACCTTAAAATCAGAATAGAGTTTCTTTTGAATTTTGTTTCATTTTTATTACATGTAAGTTTATTAGCTGATGCTAAATATTGTCACCACAGTACTGTGTCTCAACAATAATTATATTGTGAACATAATCAGGACCCTTAAATAATATATACTGTTTCTTCCCTGCCTGCAAAAGTGAACCCAGCAACAGAAGCTGTTATGTAGCCTGTTCACCCAACATGAACAAGCTCCAAAATATGCTTAAACCTTACCTAAGAAGTTCTTAGTTTCTTTTTCAGGTTGTTGTAAGAGAGAAGGCAAATGATCCATTTTCATACTGTTATTATTGAAACCCCTTAAACAGCTTCAAATAACCAAAACATAACACAGAGAAAATCCTTCTGAAACCTTTCTAAAGCTGCTGTAAACCTTCTTCCTTTATTCAAACCTTAAGTTCAATTTCCATTAATTTTTTTATTTTTTTTTTTAGTATCATAGCAAACATCTTACCATTCATTGGTTACAGAATTTTACCCATTCTGCTTTCAGACCACAGTCATGAACTATTATATTAATTCAATGAAAAAGGTAAAAATTCTGTGTTTTCTGCAGAAACTCAGAATACAAGAAGTTATGCTTCCAGATTTGGAAAGACTGGAAGACTTGATGGATTTTTTCTTTCTATTCTCATTTCAAGACAACACATCTACCTTGGTGCCCATGTTCAAGACAGGAATATGAGCCAGCTTCTTTTCATATGACACAGCCAATGGGATTTACTAGCCCAGGTACAGCAGTGGGCTCCCACAGCTGTCTCACATCTGGAATGGAGCAAGTGAATCTTTCCACTACGGTTCTCAGGTAGACCAAGACGCTCTCTGCCACAGCACAGGGTATGTTTGAGTGATATATGTTACAGTGGTGATTCATGGACGAGCAACACAACATATGTAGAAATTGAACAGATTAAGAATGCCTGAAGGGCAGCATCAGTTGACTTCTCCCCATAGTCAATTTCTGTTTTAATCAACTAATAGATTCCCTTAAAGTAAACTGCATAAAATACCACATCCAGAAAAAGACACATTTAAATGCATATTTGCTCCACTTCTGAGAAGATACAACTGGCTAATCATGCATAAACTAAGAGAAATTCTGATCGAATTGAGAGGGGTTAATCTGCAAGGCAGTTGAGAATGGACTAACACTAACCTCTGGGTAGCCTCCAACGTCATGCACATCGATTCCAAGTAGATGTCCAAGTCCGTGTGGCATAAATATTGCACCCAGATGAACCTTCACCATGTCATCTACATTGCCTTTCAGAATGCCAATTTTAGTCAACTCCTCCAGATGGACTCTGTCAGCCAGACGGTGCATATCAGGCCAGGCGACCCCTTAGAGAGCAGAAACAAGCAGCTGAGTTAACTATTGCTAAAAGTTTTTAAAGACAACTTTCAAAAAGCCAATGTAACACGTGCCCTTTGTTTATATTAAAAAAAAAAAAAGGTGGAGCAACTACATTAGCACAAAAATACTTTAAATAAGACAAAATTATCTTAACATGCATGCAAAGCACAGAAAACTACAAATGAGAAACAGCAGCACCTTACAAACCAGATCCACATGAAAATACATTAAGACACTGCATCTAAGCATGTCCATGCAGATGCAAATGTATCTGTGTGTTTTCTAAAAGAACATCAACTGTAAAATGCAGTTATTTAAAATGAGAGCAGAAAATATTACTAACCTATTATGTTCAGTAATATATACCTATTTAGAACATTTGAGATGGGCAGTACTTTTCTATGTACGTAGAGGATTTAAAGCCCACATCTTTCTGGCAAAGAGACTCTCAAGAAATTAATTATTCCCTTGTGTTAATGGGCTGCGTAAAACACAAGTCCTCTAATACACGTACTAAAACAGCATTACAAAATACTGTTGGTTGACTAAAAGAGTGCCAGGATACATTAGATTTCGATTATTTTGGTATAGGATACAATTTTGTTTGACAAACTGCTGGGGAGAGGAGGGAGGAAGAAAGCAGCTCTTTTGTTAGTAACACAGTACTGTCTTAATTAGTTCACCATGGCTTTGAGTCATCATCAACAGAGTGGTTGCAGAGTCAAGACAACTAGGGCTAAGGTACAGTAGAAGAATATTTTCCTTGTTCAATTTTGGCATGATTAAACAAATAAAAAATGAGCAATTTTTAAGGCCAAACCCCCATCAAGTTCCATTTGCTTTAATCCAGTTAAACACGCAGCTCTAGGGTCTTGTGAACATGAATGTCATATCATAATTACATTAGCACTTTTTGCTGAAAGTACTGAGGCTTCAAAGGCTGAAATAAAATCATCCTATGGGAGTGTTTAAATAAAATCCAGTTGTCTTATATGGCTCCAATATAAAGATCAGAACCAAGCTGAAGAGCAAGTGGCTGCTCCATCTTGCACACCACCCACACAGAAACTGATGCACCTTTACACTAACAGACTGGGAGTCAGCTCAGTGTGTAAGTTAGTTAACAGGCAGCCTTCTTTTCCCCATCGGATTACTCAGAGATCAAACTTTTTAGCCTGTTGCATGCATGCAGCTGAAGCAGCACGTTCCTTGCCCATGCAAGACCACAGGACAGAGGTGTGCAACAAAATATGCTGAACAAACTCTCGGTTGCTGTTTCCTCACAAAAGGCAACAGTGCCCAAGTGAGTGATGCTCACCCACAAAACGCGTGCAGTTCTCCTGTTCAAAATGTGCTATTTTTGTGTTTTCCCTCCTTCAAAAAGGAATTTAGATTTTTCCTTCAGTAAGAACACAACTATAACCAGTTATTTTTTGACAACTGTAGTCAACGTTTATCTTTTTGAACATTGATTATATTGCAATTTTCACTTCTCTAGATTCATCTATATTTCATAGCTATCTCACAATAGGCTCCAATCTATTGCATGATAAATTGTAATCATTACAATCTATCGCATTGATGTTACTGATACCAAACTGAAAGTCTTACTGAATCACAGTTGCTTTCCTGTTTATTTCGTAGTTGTGAGAATACAGAGCATTTCTGTGTAACTTCCAGTTCAGCTTCTGCACTTTGCAGTCAAGTCTAACTGCTCTAAAAGTATTTAATATTCTTTCTGGGGACACTAGATGTTCTTTTGAGATCATTCCCACGATTTCTTAGCTGAGTATTACTACAAGCCTTCTATTTTCATCCTCATGACTGCAAAGCCCCATGTAACGTCTGACCCTGGTCAACTATTTGAAGCCCCATCCTCTCTTGATATAGATGAAGGTCAGAACTCCATTGTTTTAAGACAAAACAGAACTATATCCCAGATGCTCTGAATCAACCTAAGATGAAGTGCCTGAGAGGATGGAAGATGAGGTGCCTGTTTGCACTACAGCTTCCCTCTACAGCTGTGCTGGTACTATTCGTCTCAATCCAAACCCACAGACTCCACTTAAAGAGATAGAGTGAGCTTTATCAATCTAAGGAAGAGATACAACTAACAAGAGATACAGAGATTAAACTGATCTGAAATAAAACCACCCAAGCCACATATCCATTAGTCTGCAGAAGTTTAACAGAGCAAAAGAATGACTCTGCTGTCATTGTAAATCCTGCGTATTTCTGCGCACTGAGCAAATCCATTACAGCCCCTTCTTCCCTTGACCTCTACTTTTTCTCTCATTGAGAAAAAGCATGACTGTTTCCCCTCTCCTCCTCCCGACCAGAGCTCTGTGTTCTCCATCTGTTTTGTTTTTTATTCATCTTATCTATTTGTTTAGAGACTGAGGACAACAAAAAGCTCCACTGCAAAATAAGTAATGAGGTTGGATGGAAAATCTGCAGCTTTGGGCTCTCTCTTGGAACAAGAGAACTCTGTGCTTCGGACAGAGTCCAGCAAACAACTCTGGACCATTCTTTTATCATCTAGCTGGTGCCATCAGTGTTGCTAGAGATGGGAAGTACCTCAGGTCAGCACTCTCATGCACGCTGCGGAAGCTGCAGATAGCTCTGGGACAGCTCTGGCTGAAGGGAAATTAAGCTACTGCTGGAAGAACCCAGCTGAATAGTACAAATCTTGTTTTACAAGTAAGTAGGTGTTCAAATAGTCTTAATTTAAAAAAAAAAGTGTTTATAAATAGATTGCATTTTCTACTCTATTGTCTGGCTTCACATTTTATTCTACTATGGCTACAGCGTGGTGGTATTTTGCAATATTAGGCCACCCCTCTCCAAACCACTTAACCTACAGGCTTTGTATAATACAGTCATACATACACAAACTATTACTAGTGTGCTAAGACACAATATGAGGATATTTTTGAGCTGACTAGAGACAGTGAACTAAATGGAGTGACCTTTCTGATCTTCATTTTAAAAAATGGTGATATCCTTGTCTTGTTTGAGATGAGCTGACTCGCACCATGCTAGGAATAAACTTTAATAATAAGGTACAAATGGCTTTCCCTCCCTTTTTTAAAAATAGGCCATTTGACAAAGAAAGAGGATCTAAATGGAAATCTTCAAACATTTCCCAGTACCCTTATAATCTTAAAATCATTAACTTTCTTAAGAGAAAGAACTACTTTACAGTAATAAGGCAACTACTTAAAAGTACAGAACACAATCTACTGAAGAAAGCCATCCTAATTCAAGAAAGATCTCTTAGTCCATTTTATACATAAAGTATATTCATGTATTCTATACATTTAATATACAGTAAACAGAAATATACAACTCTTCAACTTTTAAACCTAAAATTGCATTAGGTTTTCTGATGTATGCAAACCCAGCTGTCTCTGGGACTGGCTGGCACGTCTGCCATTTAAGTTAACTACTAGAGCACACTTGAAGAGCAAAAGTCCTCAAATTCTGCTAATCTAATTTTTCTACATACATATTGAACTTCCAATAACTGCAAAAAAGCAGAGAAGGGAGGAAAAATTAAATACCACAGCTAACTTGACTAGGAAAGCCATGAACAGAATTTTTTGGTACTCTCGCATAATGTGCAATTCAATAACCTGGATGTGCCAGAAGGACTTACAGTGAGGATACGTGAATCCCTGTGTTAAAGCACATATATCTCTATATTCTGTTCAGATGTCTGTGCGCGCATCTATGTGTGGATAGCTTTAGTGTTAAAACAAAGAAAACATTAATAAAGAAGCCTCTGTGCAGGCAACCAGGGACCAATCTGCCCAACAGGACAGCATTTGCAGATGTGAAGAAGAAAACACTAACTAAACAATGCCAAATGAACAACATTTCATACAAAGAATCCTTAACTCATGGAAGTTACTTGATGTTCAGGCACTTCAGTTTTTTGGATTAACAGTGGTCCAGCGGAGAGCTCTGTCACCCACCGCAAGCCGACGCAGCAGAAGTCCAACACCGTATAAGCATTCTCATAGTGAGAAAAAGCAGTTAAAAACCAACTAAACCCCACAACAAAACAACTTCCACACAAGCGGCTCTAACATCAGTTATGCGAGTTACTGCAATGGCTGGCTGTTTTGAAACACCAGCCTGCACTAACCTCCTACCACCCATCACAGGATGTTTTACTCGTTCTTCATTCAGGACTATTATTTTTAAGCTTTGGTGAAGTTTATCATAGTTGCAGACATCCTTTTCGTGTAAAAAGGTTTGTTCTGTTATTATCTGTAAGCCAATTTATAAACCAATTATACTCCACTGACAGATGAGGTTTAGAAAGCCAGATTGGAGGGTCCTTGGACTTTGACGCTTGTACCAAAATGAGTCTGGACTCAGGAAAATCTGCTGATTATGTGTCTGCTCCATTCTTAATTCTCTGCCAAACGAGATACTGGGTAATACAGGTCACTGAAACAGCGACTGGCTCCCCTGGAAAGCTCAGTTACCAGGGCTCATTAGGTTGCGATTCGTTACCTGCCACGCAGTGTGCACTTGGGCAAGAGGCCCAGACTAAAAGCACCTTTTACAGCAACCAAAGCATTTGAGATCCTGTGAGATACAGAGTGAATAAACTACACAGCAACAACCAGACAGTGGACATGTCTGATAATGAAATGTGACACATCATGGATTAATTAAACAATATATAACTACAGAAGCCATTAGTTTTCAGATACCACACTAACAGTATAGCAAAGATTTGTAGACACGTGAGGTACTGTGCTTAAAAATGGCAAACAATGTATTAAGTTAACTACAAGGAGTTTTTAAAAATTTATTCCCATCAACCTGAATGTTATCTGATATTCTTAGTTACTAGTGTGGCAGAAAATCAAAAGATAGAATAGGTACTGTTTTACTGCATTGAAAATATTTCCTAATTATCTGTTTGCCAAACTCACCAAATTTCAGATAAAAGACCATGTTTTAGGGACTC